AAGGACCATAAAGGCTGCAAGAAGTATCGTAACTCCAAGCAGAAACGGGCCAGTTATTTTGACGGTTTTTTTTTCTCGATTTCATTGTCCAATGTAAACACTTTGTACTTTGTTTTCTCGTTTAACAGTGAGACCTGTGTTGCTGCTTCTATAGAGCGAGAAAGTCTATTTCTATAAAATTCCTATAAGATAAATTATATAACTGATACTGCACAGACCATCATTAGCTCTATTAATCTTCCGCCTGTTGTGAGGTCTTTTTTTCGTTTTTTTTGCACTTTATGATGATATATACGGGGGAACACAGAGCATAAACAGACCTATACAATAACGATGGATCAATAAGAAAACATTTTTGGGAAATTTTCGACAAATTGCGTGTCCTTAGCCGTTTATCGAACTAGGTAAACGTTTGCTCAATACGCAAATGGTTCGCCGGTGGGGTAGCAACAGCACATGGCAATACATATACAAATCGGTATACAGTTTTATAGCACCATACCGATATCAACACATAGCATTATATTGTCACTGAGATTATACTGCCACAAGTGCGATAAAGGCCTCCCTGTCACATGGTTCTTTATTGGCTAGGTCCAGGCAAAGTACGTGGTTTCACTGATTCCCGTTAGGACAGGAATTGTGTTACTGCCGATTATCGCAATTTCACTTACCCGGCCACTAGCGCATACAGTAGAAATAAACAATGCAAGAATTTCATCTTTCAGATGTTAATGATTCGTACATTGGCGGAGTAATAACATTCACATGTGTGTGCGTTGCCACTCCGCGGACTATCTTCAACAACATTGTTTTTAACTTTGATCCGATTTATTGAATTCAATTTGTCGCCTCCGATGAAGCAGCTCCTGAGGCGATTCCTCGAGAACGGAGCAAACGGTGAACGAAAAGTTCAAATCGTTGCAGCTATAGGGGCAGCTGCGGCGATGTCGTCACCTCGGCAGAAGTGCCTAGGGCACTAGTCAGATCGTCAAGCGCTGTTTCTGCTTCTTATCCGCGGTGATACCCGTCTCGAGAGTTGTCACTCGCTTGAATAAAGATTAACAAAAACCATACCGATATTTACAGCCAAAACGCTTCTAATAGTGCGTAGAGGGATATTATGCGAACATTTTGAAGATTCTTTTCCACCTAGCGCCGCTACACTGCCACCCCCGTCGAGGCCGCCACCGCAGCTGCTGCTAAGGCGATCGAAAGCCGCATTCGATGCGCCGGCCTCCTTCATCACTGGTGTTCACTTGGAACTCTATACAGATCCCATGATCCTACATGCACCTGCTGTAGATGAGGTGCCCTTACATTTGCACCGCACCGTGCATCAAAGCAAGCAGTAGTAGTAACGCAACGCACATCGACAGTAGACAACTATTAATAGGGTGATAGAAGTAGCGTTCCCTGCTTGCTAACTGCGGAATTCTACCCCACCGCCCCTCGCACCGGTCCTTATTAATCTCAACACTAGCCCAATCAACGTCATTGCGTAACTTATTCCATTCTCATTTCGGACATCGGTCTCCATCTCCGGTCACTAGTGTATTGCTATTCTAACTATCGTTTGGGGCAGCGATCATTGCCATCACCATTATCATTCGTTGCTTGGTGTCGTGAGAACTCATCCTCATATAAAGAGTGCCTTGGCTCCATCTGTTTTTTTAGTGCACCGAACCGAATGGAAGCTGTTAGCACGGCTGATTGACAGGCACGTCATATAGGGAGTCATAGACACGTATCTGTACTCGAGGGTCGATTTATGCGTTTGTGTGTCGGATGTATGTTCAGATCGTGTATGCAAGCCTCGACCAATATCGTCAGCAAACATAGCTTGTTTATTTAGCAATGAATTCGAATCTAATCGAGTCGTGTTTGTATTGTTATCGTTCTCTGGGTAGTTGGCTGTAAGATGACGTGAGTTGCGCTCGAAACGGTGGTTAGATATCTTCCCATTATTATTATTGTAAATTCCTTTATTCCCATTTTCATCGCATCGTAGTCTCTTTGTCGTCTTTCTTAAAGTCGTTTTCCAGCTATTTACCCTTGCTCTGTCTTTCTTTTTCTGTTTGGCGCTCGTGATGATGTCCTTCTTCAGCGCTTGTGCAATGATAGGCTTCCTGTGACATTTGACTTGTCTTCCTTTAACGGCGACACTGGCGCCAGCAAAACCGAAAACATTCTAAGCGAATATCAGAGGAGTGCGTCTCACAGACACGACGTGTATCGTCAGCAAGCCATATTGATTATATATAATGATGCCAGCAACAGCAAGCAACGAGCCCCATAAACGGTTTCTTGTAAGCTTGTCAGTTACACAAAAAAACTTCAAAGTCGCTCATCTCGTTTACGTTTGCCTCTCCGTCAACACAGATCCCATACAAAAACGGATTCTACTGGACGGTTGTCGTCGGCTTCTCTGAGGGTTACAAGTCTTTGGTGAGTCAACCGATCGGCCAAAATGTCCTTTCTTGCAGGCTCTCGTTTGTCGGCACCGCACTTACGGGGAAGCCACGAGGCAGCTAAAAGCGGCAACAATACCTAGGATGCACAGGGAATCATTACAGATAGGGGTGAAGGGGGGGCACTGTCCATCATATCAACTAACAAGTTCTCATCGACGTCAAACTGACCGGACATATGAAAAGAAAGATCAAAGTAGACATTAACCGAGAAAGGGATGGACAGGTATGTGAAAAAAATTAACGTGTCTGACCCCCCCATATCTACCAATAGAGCTACAAAACTATAATGCTACTGTTATTCATACAAACGTCCCGTCTGCTTGTTAATACAACAACATTTGACAGCATCTAACGCTGACATCTTTATTGCCTAAATACCCTTAGCATCAAGTTTAGTCCCGGTAGGCTAACCAGTTAAACTTTATTTGTAGCGTATATGCCATTTAGTTTGATAGTGTTTTATTATTTCGTTTATAAAGTTTTATTATATTCTAAAAGTTTGCGCCAGCGACGTTGCTGACGAAATGTGTCGTTTTATCTGGTACGAACTAGGGCACGATAATGTTTGGTATAAAAATAAAAAAAAAAAACGAAAAATAGCGGGTAGTGAATTAACTAGAAAAATTATGCCAATCAAGAGATTGACCAGTATATCTGCTGGACTCAAGAAAGAAAAAATCTTTAATCGAATGCCTCTCTCGCTGGTTACCTGGTGACATTACTGTTGAGAGAATAATAAAACAGACCCAGAAAGTTACGTCCCTTTTGGCCGGGTCACTGACACTTTGTATAGTTAGTGCGATCTTCAAGTGATCAGTTTCTCTTTTATAAACACGTTTTAAACAAACTGAGCAAGGGTTCGTACCGCTTCATTTATGAAACCGAATACAAACCAAGTACGTTTCAAAAAAATCGTTAGCTATTCGGTAGTTCTAATGAAGCTACCGAATAGCTACAGATTCAACTTAAAGACAAAGATCCTTTCCTCTTTCGTATTTTCTGTGATACGAACAGCCACTGGCATTATTTTCAAGGCGTTTTTACAAAATGTTGTCACCGAACTCTAACCGCTATTGTTGTCCTACATGCATGTATGTGCATTCAATTTTTAGTACAAGCGTAAAATTTTGACGGTCCATTGCTAAAAGCACAATTTGCTTAGAAACAATTGAGACAAACGCAAATAACAGTAAGAAGGGATGACACCGAGTTAACGCGCCCCCTCTTAGGATTTAGAGTTATCCCCCTTTTTCTCATCAGCATCAAACAAATAAGGGTTCTACTCCATTCTTGACGCCAGGATTGACGTAGTCTTCGTACGCCAGCGTCAACTGTGACACTAAAAACTCTGACAGAAGCTAACGCCAACGGTAGAAGGCAAAAAATCATCGGCAAAACGCAAAGCGAGTACTTGCACAAAAGCAGCAGACAACAAATAGGTAAAACCGCAGCCAACAAAGAGCGAAAAGACAATACAGCCATTTTTTCCTCCTTCTTTGCGTCCTGGGAGTAGTACTATATTGCAAACCACATTTATCGCCATTTGCGTACGGCTTGACTTTCGGGCTTTTCGGAGGAGCATATATATATGCGCTCCTCCGAAAAAAAATTGCAAAAAAAATGAACGCTCGCAGAAAAAACACGCATCTGTAATTGTTATTTAGGCTAAGTAGGTCAGTTTACTTCCATGCTTAGAGACATTCCCAGCGAAGAACGTATTATTAGGTGGACGCCCCGTTGGCAGGTGAAGGCGCATGAGCCTACGGCGGGCTACATTCATAAGATATCATTGTATATTTGATTATACTTTATTAGAATCGAGAGACTACCGAAAACAGTTGTTCTTTCCGCGACCTCAAGAGAACTTCTGTACTTCTACAAGACCATCGGGAAACAGCCCGCAGCTTCTTACCAACTAAGTGGTAACCAAAAAAACAGTGAAAATAAGTCGTTTCCCCTATTCGTAATAACGAACGAAGGAATTTTCACACCATTTCAAAGGGTATTGATTATTTTAATTCTACGTCTGTGTCACCAAACGTTTCCATTGACACACAGTCACAGTTTCAATCGAGGAATGGGGCTTGCGGGGGGTAAAGGACGTCCGGCAGAACAAAGAAAAAAAAGGGTATAATAATGAACATGTTTTACAAAACGGTGCGACTACATTGCATAATGCAATCCGCAGAAAATAACACCATTTACCAGAAGTCTGTATTTCCATATAACATGATTGTCTATACTTGTGGACTCAATCTGAACTCCTACTTCAAAAAGAGTCAGCCATTATTGGCCGTGTAGTCCAAATACGTTGCCGCGATACTTCGGTACCGCATTTATAGGTACTTTCAAACCAGTAAGTTGGGTTCTAATATCAACGGGTTTTAAAAAGCATTGGCATCATGTCGAAATCTACTAACGAGTAATATAAAGTGTTTCGATATAAATTCGTCTGCTGAATAGCTTGAAGGAGTTTTGCAAAATAATCCAAGAAGCAATATAACCAACAAAAAATTAGCTACTTACATCGGGGTGTTCTTTGACTGGGACGTAGACCTTTTCGGTCTTGGCAATTACGGGTCCATCCGGATCAGGGAGCACGAGCGGCTCCTTTGCCCGACCACTGATCTGGAAAAGTGATGCCCGAACCTTGCAGATTTCTGTGAAGAGCACAGGAGATGAAGTTTAGATGTTAACTTTTACTCCTCAAGACAATGAAAATAGAACCCTAGCAATGCATTATTTGGTTAACAAGACCATTTATTTTTCCATTAGTTATGTGGGGCAGATATAGCAAACAAGCTTCGGGGGTGACCTCTAATCAGATAATTAGTACACACAATGTGATAGATTAATGGCTATCATTAGATGTCTATTATTCGCTCTCTACGAGAAAATCGCTAGTAATCAGCTAAGTGTAGGCCACAAACCTATAATAATACTAATAACGAGCTGATTGATGTTATCGTCACTCCCGAAAGGAGGACGAAGCATTTCATTGCGACTATTTACATTGATACGTACATACCATACCGGTACCGCACGATACGTATATCATACGTGTATGCTGAATGATTTCAAAACTGATCATTTATTGTACGTAATCATACAACCAACGGATCAGAACCATATACGTATATATATATATAAATGTGTACATCAAGAAAGCGAGTTACATGTGCGTCTCTTCTGGCTGGAATGCCGCTCCTTATATATATATATATATATATATATATATATATATATATATATATATTAAATGAGAAAACCATACAACGCTCGAGCTTTCCCACACGAGCATTAATAATCTTCTTGCATAAAACGTCATCAAGACAAATGTTTCACTTCTTTGCTGCATCTTCTCGATGTCAGACGCAGCAGAACTGTCACAGCGGAGCCCGAGGGCAACTCCAAGTGAGCGAGTCAGCCAACGGGCATGTAAGCTCGCCTGATTATTCGCTCCTGTACCCGACGTCCGTCACACGGACGATAGCCCGTCACAGCTATCGGTTGCTGAAGCTGTTGTTAGTACCCCTTCTCCGTTGGTGTGTCTGGCATTTTGTTGTCGTTTTTCATAAAATCATTCCTTCCGATAATATCACATAACGCGTCGGCTACGCATCTACCGAAGGCAGAAAACGAAGTTCGGTACGGGAAGCCTGGCCTGAAACCGTCTCTGAGCGAAGGGACTTTCCTCGGTTATATCTGACTCCGGTAGAACTAATTCCGTTGCCACCGCCGCCGCCGCCGCCGTGGAGGTCAAAGCCAACGATATGCATGTAGCACCAGAACGATACACAGCAGCGGCAACGAGCACAAGTTACCGTCTAAACGGCAAGAAACGGAGAAAAAGCAAGCGGGAGACGACGGAAAAGCCGCCAGAATTGCGCAACCCTTCATCGTCACATGCTGAGATTGCTATTGCAGCTAGCACCGCGTTGGCGAGGTCGTCTTTAACATTTTTCGCCGATTTCGACCCCCCGTAACCATCCGGGCTGGGCTGCGAGAGCGTCCAGCTCGAAAAGGCAATCGCTACCGGTATCAGACGCGTCGAGTATTTGAGATGGTTGTCGAATCGAGCCGGTCAAAGCAATGCGATGCGGCGTAAGGTAGGGCTCAGTCGGAAGTGACCAGTTTCGCCGTTGTTGCTTTTGTTATTTATACTGCTATTTCTACTGTCGCTATACTTGTCAATTACTGCAAGTTTGTGATGTATGTATGTAACAGTGACCACGTCCAATACCAAACAAGGAACAAAGCAGCTCGTAGTGGAAAGACGAACGACAGAGCGATCGACGGAACCTAAAACATGTAATTTTCTTTACTTCATCAATTATTACTATGTTTTTTTACAGGTCATTTTAACCCCACAACTCAGTTGTTTCTAGGCAGTACGTAGATATCGTTCAATTGAACTGTCCAGGTATGTGCGCAGTTCGTTTCGATGGAGGATAGGACACCACCGTTACCCTCGTTGTCGCCGTGTTGATAACAATAGCATTACAACGAATGTATGCATGCATCAGCTAAGTAATCACCTAAGTGGGACCTAGGGTTAGGTATAGTACGGGAACGCATAGTTTGGGGTAGTTGTGTCATACCGGTATAGGGAAAATCGGTGAAGGTATCAAATCAAGCTTAAACAATTGATAATAGCAATGATACATAGCCAAATCAACTAGTATTGCTAGTAAGCTATAGCAAAAAATGTAATATTATAAATGCTCAACAACCCCATCAGGCAATTCTGACCAGGCAATCGCAGCTACTGCGCCGGCCCCAGCCATCGTAACTAGCTTGATAATAGCTGAATAATCTACCTTGATGATAACCCTAGTTCCTCCGACTAGTTTGGTCTTCTCGGCTCCATTAGCGTTGATGCAGTAGTAGTAGCAGCCAGTCACAGCTGCAGTCTTTCGGTCGAGCCTCAAACTCTGTTTCGTTCATACTCAATAATACTTATACGGAAATCGGATTAATATCTATCGGATGTATTGCAAACGTCAAATGATCGTGCTCTACGATTATCTCGATAGCAGACAAAAAGGCCCATCTAAAAATTCAAATGATTCAGTCACCACCTGCTCGAGCAGCCCTCTTACCTGCCAAGACTATAGAATCTATTACGACAATTATATAGCGGTTGTTTTTGTGACGAACGGATGAATTGCTTCGGTATCATGATGAGCCTAAAACACATTCGCCTTCCACTACCTAATATTCCTTCCTTCGTAATCGAAAATATAATGATCGGTAGTATTTTGTCTAATGTGCCCCCGGGTAGCAATACTAGTACATAAAAAACGTTACATTGTCTTATTTATCTCAAAATGGGCCAGCCGCCGTATGTTGTTACATATCCGGCTTTTTTGGGATCGTTGCGGAACCTTAGAGAGACCTACTAGCCAAACATTCGATAATCTCAAACCGCTCCTAGACCACGTCGGTGATGTATAACTGAAATCAATAAGATTTAGTATATTGGTTCTTTCCGAATATAGCGAAACGTGTGCCGCCATCGGTTAGAAACTATGCGGCCCAGATATCGTCGTTAAGTTTTGCTCCAGACCAGGCAAGCCAACTCTGGTCAGCAACTAACTTAAATCTACCGCAATTCAGAGGTAACTTTGTCTGAACAATTTCGACGACTAGCACTAGAGCACTCCTTATCCTGGGTATAATAACTGTCCATCGAGTTTGCTTGCAGGAGTTCCTTATCAATATATCCAAGTTGCAAGTTATCATTTCCATTTTCGATGTCTATCGAAGGTTCAATTATCCAATATCGCCCAGTTCTTCAGCATTATTCACTTATTTAGTCGTAGTTGCATAGTGCTGTCGTATTTCTGGCAATTGTCGCAAAGCATGTCGTCACGGAGTTTGCGACAGCTTTCATAATTTTTCCTAGCACCATAGGGAATAATCGGAACTGGTCTGACAGTGGCTTCCCGCTAATGCTTTCCCCGTATACAAGCAGACGAGACCGATCGACCGACCGACCGACCGACCGACCGACAAGTTAGCATCAAAAGTTTTGAGCTTTTCTAGACACAAAACAACTTCCCACCAACACCACCTCCGATCATGCGCCACCACCATCTGACGCCAGCTGGTATAATGCTGTGAAGTTAACCTTAAGGTCATAGTATAACAGCGACACAGGGGATCGATGGTCATCGTGACAAACGTTGCTAGTCCATTGTCGTTGGCTGCCCCAGTATAAACTTAGGCAGGTACAACGTGGACTGCGCCAGTAACAACTCGAAGTGTCGATTGGACAATTCTGTCTCGCGCTATTGCGTTAATTGACCCAAGAATGAAAAAGCGGGTTCGCCTGTCTGTGATGTCCGCCATTTTTATCCGGTGATATATATAATCAGACGTGACTAGCAGACGGAAAAAGCTATGCAATTCTATTTAAGCTATCACAAATTTCCAAATTGAACTCCATGATAGCGCCATACCAGATTAACTTCTGGGTAGTGTGCGCTCTAAATGAAAGAAATTCAATCTTCCGCAGATTATCACTGGTATTTACTTAGCTCATTAGACGAACTTCCATTTATCATCTAACTGTTTCAAGTTGACTGCTATAATATAGCGAAATATATTTGAAGTTAATATCCTATACTGTGTCGGCTGACGCCCAATAAACCAACCAAAATCGCTGACCCCAGACGGTACTCAGACAACACACACACGTACTTCATAGTCGAATACTACGTAATTTTGCTCACAGATGCCCGCCATTACCTCAGCTCATCGTCCGGCACACCATCGTAGCCGGTATTAAGCAACAAAAATAACAACAGTAAAAAAGCGAAAATACAATACAACGCCGCATGTTTACGTTTTGAAGTTACGACAAAGGCAACTTCAGACTACAGCAAAAAAAAAACCGTAAGAAACGACAGTTCTCAGTTGACTGCTCACGTGATATCGCACGCTACCATCGCAGGAACGACAACGCGATTCGAGAGAGGTTGTACAGTCTTCAACCAAACGATTTGACCCCAGCAGCAGCATTACCAATACGCCGCTATTGTCAATATCTGACACCATGGTAGCTGCCAATCGGTTTGAGAGACGATGGGCGCAATGGCTTATGGGAACGCGACAGACGAAACAACGCCTGGCATCAAGAAGAGCGCCAGGACAACAATAGCAAAAGCATTTGCGCTAAGCAAGTGAGCTCCTGTTAATGTTGTCGTCGTGGTCATCGCGATGGTCTCTGAAAAACCACACTGACGAAAGCCGTTAAGGCTTCAACAACGACGGCGGCGGCTTCGCTGAAGGCAGCATCTGACAATCGAGATATAATCTGAATCTGCGCGTGCTATGGAAACTGTGAATGACGAATCATGCCGAACTGAGTCAAGGGTGCAGCGGCAGTTCTAGTCCACCAGCTTTCTTGCGTATTGAAGTGCGCTGGTTATTAGCAGCAGCAGACTTACTATGTCCAGCGAGTCATAAATGACATGAGCCCCGCCGGTTGAACATATACCTTCGGAGTTACACGTATACATATGTAATCCTAAGGAAAAGGCGAGTCGTCGTCGTAGAACGTGTGTGCGGAAGAATCAATCCTAATTTTTATTTCCTACGGGAAATGATTTCATGGGCACTGCATGGTCCAAAGGGACAACTTCACGTCCAATGCAACAGCTACGTTAATACCATGCACCACGTTACGTCGACCCGAAGTATACGGGTTCGATGTTTCTCTTTTGCTCTCTAGTGTTCCTGCTCATGTCACGAAATAAACGAAATTATCCTACGGTAAAAAGGCGTATTGGGCTATTTGCTGAAACACTTAAAGTTCACCGGTATCATAGATCACCGAAACGGTAGGGAGGCCGTATACGCTTTGAAATGGGTTGGAACCATCGAGTCGACAGACAGATGGACCGATGCGCATGGTGATATGTCTAAATCTACGCGTATTGCTGGCGCAGCCGGAAAACGTGATAGTAATAAACAAGCGAAAAACACGTACAGGACGGGCAAGAAGTGCAAGGAGCACGTCTCTGGATAAAAATCTGGTTAATTCAACAGTGAACTAGAACTGTGTTCTAAAAAAACTCACAAAATCAAAAATCAACCTTTCCTACTTGGTTTTAGTACAGTATCCGTTGATTTAGCTAGAGAAAAATTTGAAAGAAAAATTGAAAGAGAAAAAAATAGCCTTGAAAGCTCTTAAAACTATGCAAAAACGTGTTTCGCGATGCACCTTCACTTCGAACACTGGACAAAGGAAATGAAAAAATGTCGATGTTATTATATATCGCAGTGTTCATTACTCCATAAAGGTCACCAAATAACGAAGCCCGTTAATAGGGTCTGCAATGTGCAATTCCAGTAGTTTCGAGCGATAGTGCGGAGCTTCATCGTGACAGCTCTGTGAAAAACCTAATGTGATTTTTGCAGGAATATCGATAAGGAGATACTTAAAATACTATAGTCGATGACTCTGAAAAATTACTACGCTGGCCAGTTACGAAAGCAACGACGTAATCACAATAATGGTGAAGACAAATGTGGCATTAGTCAGTTTTTTTCTTTTTTAGGGAAAGCCACTCGAAGCGTTTCAATGACAGCTGACGAGACAAGCGTCGCAGAACTACTTCGAAATAGCGCAACAGACCTAAGGACGTATTACAAATATCGATCAGAAAAATTCGCTAATTACGGTGGATTTCAGAGCTGGTTAACGACAGAGGACTTGGTATCGCCGTATATAAACAAAACACAATATAGCTAATTATAATCATTAAGAAGCCCGCATTAGAGATGTTTGGACTTTGAATGTTAGTTCAAATAGCCTGATCTATTGCACATATACCGTTTAAGGGTGGTTACCACAGTTATTTGACTGATATCTAATTAGGCAATGCCGAATAGAAGATTTACCATAATGCAGGTGTTACTATCATTGAAAAAAAATTCAAACATAGTTGCCTCGGGCCAACGAACGCTGTGATTTCCCTTCCAGCTTCGCGTTTCGCTTCGTATTGAACCGTGTGTCCGAACCACCTCAGACGACATATCTGTAGTAAATAATCTGGCAACGCTGTTGACTACAAGGAACTTTCGGTGACATTATCGGAAGAATTCTCGGTGCCACTGTCATCTCCAACTACTTTTTGATCGACTTCAAAAATGAAATCTACTAACAACAATAGGCGCAGCGGAGAAAGCGGCCGCAGAGGAAATTGGTGGAAAAATTGAAAAATACGAAGCTGAATTTTCACGGTTTGGTCGTTGTCATAGTTTGCTAAATCAGTCGTCGGAATGGTCTTCTCTGCCCCGTCTTTGACCATCTTCCTACAGGTCAGTCCGTTATTGTCACAGGTCCTTAGCTGAACTTTGTCTATTTATCTATCTATAATATTAGTAACAGTAACAAAATCTCTCTCGTTACGTCTCAATCTCGTTCTGCACCGCGGAACGTAGAGATGAGTAAAGAAAGCCGCAGCGAAAAGGTGCAGCCGAGTAGCCCGCGTAAAAATAAACACATGGACACACACATCGACTCACGGACGCAAACATACGCCAATCAGTTACAATACAACAAAGATAAAAAAATTCAAGATTAGTATTACAACTGTTTATTATTATTTCTATGTATTAAGACTTTAGTTGCCGCTGCAAGAAAAAAAACCGTCATCCTCAGTTTGAGGAGCACTAGCAAAATCATTATCTGGCTGTCTGCAAAACGGTTGTCGTCGTTACACGCAACGAAGCCGCCGTTGAAACGGAAAGCAACAATGACAACAACAAATAGAGTTAAATAGCAGACGTCGCGATAGCCATGGCATCGCCCCAGAACGACACGAGAGCAAGATCAATTGGGTTGTCATTATGGTAATTATGTTTATAAATTTCCAAGACTATTAGAAGCAAACAATCAGAGAAATAACATAGCATCTTCCTGTACGGGTCTAATAACGTGGATCATTATTAACATAGCTTCAAAGAGCTTCATTTTCTTTATGCAAATACTTTGGCTTTTGTAGGCTGTAAGTATTGTGTTGTAAGAAACGAGATTTATTTTTGTTAGCCTCAGATTGTCGATCATTCTATCATGGGGATCAGTTCATTACACAGCTACAGTTACGAAGACTGGATTTGTTGGAGCATACAAATTAGTGAGGTACATTTTTTTTATATGAGTCCAAGCGAGTGGAAACCGATTAATTCCATGCTCATCTGGGTCATAAGGATTGTCCCATAGACTGAGCTACTCATTTAAAAAGGTCATCAGGTATTTCCGGTAGTAGTTCTAGGCGGCTGGCACTGCACAACTTTATTGAATCACCAACTTTGGTGAATATCTGTGCCTCAAGCTTTTTCCGAACGATATAAACGAACGAGTTATTGTGTAATACTATAGATACAACAGTGCATCCCTTTAAATGTTTTTTTTTCTTCTGGTATACATATTACGCGAAGCAGTGTTTGTGAAGGATTGTTTTCACAATATGATTTGATTACATGTTGATAACGGTCGCAACGCTCCGACCCCTGTTTGAGAACTCTTTCATAGTTCAGTAAATGTTATTAACGTGTTTCGCGACATCTACATACATTTACACACACACACACACAAACACACACACACACACACACACACACACACACACATATACACACACACACACACAACACATACACACACACACAACACACACACACACACACACACACAAACACACACACACACACACACACACACACACACAC